CATGTTATGAATGTTGGCGTACCATAAAGAATAAATTATGAACAGTTTAGTTTGTGCCTTCAAGTCGTTGCCCATAGGAAGACGTTACTTGTATATAACCTGATCAAATATCTTCAGAACGGCTCCAAATGACACAAAACTCATATGGGTGAGTAGAACATGATGTAATAACGTAAAATCAAGGGGCCAATGTTAAAAAAACGTTGGTTCCCCTTTAAGACGTAAATGTAGAAAACCTCTTGGTATGTCAACAGGGTGTTTTTTATTTTGGAAAAGATCCTAATCTCTTCGGGAACTTAGTATCAACCAGTTCAATTGCTGTTATTATTGTCATTTCTACTTAATTATTTATTTTTAACCCAAGAGTGTCTAGAACATGGGTGCTGGGTATGACTGGTGACAGTTGGTAGTAGGATCTGTCTCGTTACCATTTTGTCTGTATTTTTTTTATCTGTATGGGATGTCTGATGTTTGAGTCTGAATATCAATAAAAACAATTTTATTTTTTATTACTATCAATCAGTTCCTTGTAAATATATTCATAACCTTTGATTTCTGGATTCCATATTTGTACATATAAAATTATCTACAACCATCAACGATGAAACAACGATCTGAAAAAGATTGGTGTGCATTTGTATTTAGCCTCCAAAAGTCTTTCCTTCGGAAAACAATCTGTTGCTGCGAAAACAGATTAGTCACTTCTAGCTTTGCACTTCTAGAGACTAATGTTTGTGCTCTTCTATACATGTAAAATAGCTCAAGCTTGTTGAGATTAAATGAAGAGAATCTGTGAGCATCAAATTGAACCCTAACATTCTAAGTTGGATTCAGGTGTAGACTTTAACTAGGCCACTCCAAGTCATGAGCAAGCATGTTTTCAGTCTTTATTCTGATAGAAGGTAAACCTACCTTAGTCTTATGAAACTATGTTCTTCATGGACCAAATATTTCTATTCTCATCTCATCTGACCAGAACACCCTTCTTCTAGGTTTGCTGTATATGCAAAGATATATCAAACTGGATATGAGATCTCAGATGTTTCCTTTAGCAACGCCTTTATTCCTGCCACTCATCTTTAGAGGCTTGGTTTTTTTAAGTGCATGACAGCTGTGCTGTTGCTTTATTCTTTCACCAATGGTGAATCTCTACAGCTCCTCCAAAATGAGCACAGTCCCCCTGGCTGCTTCTCTGTTAAATAAGACACATGGTATCTATTTACTAATGAAGTTACTTCTAAAGAACATTTTTGCACTGCAATTGATTTGGGGATATCAAAGTAAAAGGTAGTGAATATAAATGTAGACAGATTTTTTTAGATTTTATTTTTTAAGACAAACAATAAACATCTACCATGCATCCATGTAACTTTGCAAATCTGCTGGACTACATGTTGGTTCATTGCATAAAATGTCCCAGAAATATCATATGGCTTATGGTTGTTAAGTGAAAAGGTGGAAGGAATGTGAACATCTTTGCAAAGCACTACAGGGTAAAGGTGGATTAAAGGTGGACTCTTACTGCATCTTCAGTGGATTTAAAGGTTTCATGTCAAACAGTAGTTTCTTCCTATTCCTCCCAAACAGGCTCACCTGGAAGCATACAAAAAAGCCACCGGCAGACTCTGTTCTAATCAAGCATTTCTGTTTGGTTGCTCATAAATCAACCTGTAAGTGATGATTCCTTTTTGCGTCTTTCCTCTGACTGACATACCTCACATGTTCATTCCACCTTCATTGTGAAGGAACCTGATAAATCAGTTATTGCAAGGAGTAGATCCAGTTAGTTGAGGCAGACTAAACGTAAAAGGGTGGTTCTGTTGCTTGTTTTGAAGGAATTCGCTCTGTTTTCCTCTCCACATCATTAAGAGTTTGTGTTTGATCAGGTTCATCCCTGGTGTTTGGCTGAGTGATTCTGTGGCTTGTTCTATGCCAAAGAATAACATTATCTGTTGACTTAGATTATTTAGAAAGGCAAAGAGTGATGTTTACAGATGTTTTCTTTTCTCTCTTTTTATCCCATTATTGCAGTGTTTCAGAGTAATAGAGAAGAAGTGAAAGTTATAGGTAGACCTTTTTCATTTTGTTGCCATTTTAAAGGGAAGCGTTTCTCCAAATTTCATTTTCGACTACAAGTTCAAAGATCCCTTTTTAACAGCAGGGACATATATTCTTTGATTGATGCAATTCAGAGTAGGACACAGGAAGCAATCTGGGTTTAAGGGTCATGTTCAGGGGCCAAGAGTGTTTTGAATCTGTGACATTTGCAGCAGCGTAAGGATAACTGCTCTGTTGCTTTGTTTTGGTCCACTATCTGTATTTTTTCTTTTTGTTTAAACTTTCTATGGTGACATTTCTGGTTTTAACGATCCTAGCAATGCACCTTCTTTTTTTTTCATTACATAAATAAAGGAACTAGTAAAAAAGTAATTGCAGGGTTGAAGAGTTTGTGTTGTTTAAAGCTGTTAAATTGTCATCACTTTTAATAATAAAAAAGTAACCCCCAACATCCTAATCAGGGTCTTATATCATACTGAAAAAAATAAAAATAAAGGCAGAGAAGCAAATGTATCCTTATAACAACCGTTAATCCCACACAGGTATTTAAATAGCAAACAGATCCAACAACTTTACCGTTTATGCCAAGGATTTGATAGTCTAGCAGCGATGGTAGGTCTTCTGAAGGAAATGCCTGTTTAATTATTTCAGTTGAGTGCCAACATTTAATAATTACCTCCACATGAGTACACAGATCAGTCCACTGATTGTTTCCCTGCTTATCAGGCGCACACAAGAGTTTTCGGTTAAACCATAAATGCAAATGCAAAATCCTCATGGATTTTTAAATACAGTTCGCTGAGCTTACAACAAAGAAGGCTAAGCTCCACAGTAAAAACCTTTTCAATCGCATGCGGGCTAACTGATCTGCCCTGAAAAGGGAACTGATCTTACCTTATACTTAGAGCACACAAACTTTACATCACGGCTCCCACAGAGGCTTTCGTTTACAATTTATGACTGTGGACTTTAGAAATGTGTCAAAAGATCAATGAGGAAGTTAAAAGACAATAAAAAAAAAAAAAAAAAATCAGCATACCGTGCTTGCAACAGGTTTTCATCTGACCCTACGTTTTTGCATACTGTGCTGTTACAACCACAAACTAGAGTACTCATTTGGATTTATGTGAAATACCACCATCCAGTAGCACAACATTTTGTAAGGTAAACATTTATATGAACCCCTTTTTTATCATACCCTCAAATAAAATCTGATGCAACCAACTGCCTTTAAGGATTACCCTTTAGTAATTACAGTCCACCTCTGTGTAATCTGTGAAGATCTAAAAGGTTTTTTGTAACATAAGTGAACAAACAGCCAATAAACCTTGGAGAGAGGTTGGGAATGTTAGGGCGAAGTTAAAAGCAAGTCAAGTGTTTCAAACAATACTAGAAGCCCAAGAGATGTCAAAGAACTGTTCAATCTACATTTTGAAAATAGAACTAGTATAATACAATTATAAATCTACATAGATATGAGCTAAAGCTAAACTAGCAGGCTTGTTAGGAGAGTTTCACTTAGAGAACCTCCATAGTCTTGTGTACCTCTGGAAGAGATGTAAAGATCAAAATCTGCAAGCCTCTAGATTCAAGATGAACTCTTGCATCCTATGCCACTGTCACCACAAAGGAACAGTTTGGATGAACATATTAGCCGTTTTGCAAACATGAAGGGTTAGTCTCTACATGTTCAAATCTCATTACTTAAAGGCATAGTGGAGGATGTTCTCTTTCCGGGTGGATCATCAGAGTAAGTGGTCCTCCTAAATTGTCACTCATTCTGCTGATATGTTTACCTAAGGCGGTCCTTCGTGCTCTTCCCTATTTTCACTTACTGGTGGTGAGTCTGACATAGTGGAAAAATTGCAAATCTTCTTTTGGAAAGTAAGCTTGTTTGAGCGATGCAAACTGCAACCTTTAAACATAGCGTGCAAGAGGAAAAATGGACTCAGGGTACAGAGGTGTGCATGTGCATTTTTTTTTTTTTTTAAAGTGGAGATCTTTTCAAAAGTTTGCGAAAATCCTCCACTATACCTTTAAAGCTTTGCTGCTACAGTTGTATTGATTCGTAGATTTCCTCCGACTTCACCAGTATGCTCAACTGTACTGGTCTTCTACCTAACAGCCCAGTAAAACTGTTTATTGTTTGTCTTGATGTGCCTAAATGTAAAAATGTTCAAGGCTTGTGCAAATACTTCTCCAAGGCTCTGTAGTATAAATGCCCACAAAATATTATTTTACAAAACATTACATGCTATAAACCTTTCCTTACAGACATTTTCCATTGTAAGCATTTTATTATCTTGTATTCACAGGTTTATAATGTCAACAGTGCTTGGCTCACCTTAAACACTGTTTACAGAAGCAGCAAGAACAAACAAGAACTGTACAAACATCTTTCTAAAGTGGCAATCATATTTGTGTGGAGATCCTGCTGAGGTGTAAGTTAACAGTTTAAAGTTGTTTTGCATATAGTTTACGGTTGACCTTTAATGGGTCTGTGAAGTACAAGTGGGGAAGACATGGGGAAATACCTGTCATGCTTTTTGGCTCTAATGCTTTGAGATTGAGGTACCAAGTTACACTGAAATAAATACTTAATACTGGATTTAACTTTTTCTGTTCAAATGACTCCAGGTGATAAATTATCTAAATAAAGTGTTGTAAACGCAATGCCTTGGCTTAAATTTGAATACAAGAGGTAGTATGTGTTCAACGCAATCAGAGTTGGTAAAAGCAAACATGGTTGACCTTGCAGGGTCCAAACAACAAACATTTAACATTTGCATCCAGTTAACTTGTAAAAAAGACATTCATCTTCATCTTTTTACATGCTGCTCTCTAATAAAGGAAATCATGAGACTGCTTTAGCTTTGAACGCGTGTTTAGAAAATCCTACGCAAATGTCTGTCACCTGCACTGTCACAGCGTGCGAACACACTAGGCAGGGACACAAAGGCGGTGAGGTAATAATTTGCAAGCCCATTTTCATAATGGTCAGGATATCTGCAGAGATAAGGCAGGTGTTCACTGTGGCTTCTGTCACGAGAGCTTAGTATAAAGCAGCTTCTGTTTTGAGTGCTGCAATCCACTGGATAGGACCGTGTTTTCGTCTCCTTAATATGCAAATCAATTGGGGAAAACATCGACTGGTTCCAGCACGCAGCCTCAGGGGGCTCACCAGTGACATGACACCTTCCAGAGTCTTGAGTGTCATGTTTCGCTGCAGGACTAACGTCTGGCACTTGAAACTGGAGCTCAAAGCATTACTGTTCCTATGGCGACATGTGCAGGACCTCCTGTCTGCAAAGGACAGCTTTCACTTGCAGTCGCTCTGACCTGATGTTTTGGTAGACGAGACACTTTCTGTCCGTTTGTCAGGTAGAACTGTTTGTAGCCTTTGGGTGAGCTGGCGAGCCAGCCATACAGACAGAACTTTAGACAGGAGTCTGGGCCAGCAGCGCCATCTGGACTCTCTGCTATTTGTCCTTCCCCTCATCTCTGTCATCTCCTGAATGAATCCGCTGAATTCTTGTGGTAAACAGTAGTGAGGGACCCCTCTGAAGGCCTGTGGGATGTCCTTGCTGCGGCAGAGGCCCTGGAAGAAGACAATGGTGACGTCTTTGCACTTGCCCTCTTGCAGAGCCCCTTCTAAAGCGGCCAGAGCTCCAACAAACACAGGCTCTATCACTGCAGATGGCTCCTTTTCTGAGTCATCATACTCTAAACTTTCAACTCCTTTATCTTCCAGATATTTATTTTTTTTATTTTTTCCAAGTTTCCATCCGTTAGGTTTTAAATAATCAGGCATTAATGTTCTGATTTTTTCAGGTCTCAGGCTATTATCCATTTTCGTTCTTAATCTCTGATACATCCTTTTAGCTTCAGAACTCCAAACGATCAGTATTTTTCCCTCTTCTTCAAGGATATTTTCCCACTGTCCATACAACCAAGGAAGTGGACCGAGATCTGCCACGCTAGCGCCATTCCAAGCCTTGGTTTTAGAGCTCTGGGCCCATAAAGTGGTGTCCACCGATGCACCCAGCTCCTCCTGCAGAATCGATGCCAGGGCACAGGCTGCAGAGATGTGGGCCGACTGACTGGACGAACAGACCATCAGCAGTGGCCTCTGAATGGTCAACAAACCTGGGTGCAAGGCAAGATAGAAATTTTGTGTTTATACCAGTAAGATGTGCAAACATAATCATTGTGCAACAGATATAATAGAGGACAACAGAACCAACCTGCCATTCCACTTTTTAAAGCACGATGGAGGAGAAATCCAAGTAAGGTGCCGGTGACTGCAAATACTAAAACACCACCTGCACAAACACCCCACCTTTTCCGTGTGACTAAAAAACACAAACATAGGCAAGTTTGGCATATGTTTTGATTAGGAGTTACATGTGCATTCAAGCACATTAAAAAAAGAATGCAAAATGTGTGTTTGGTGCGTGTGATGCCTTACAGTCCGGGCACAGGATTCGGCGGCCAATAAGAGCTGGATCTGACTGCCACACCTTAAGAAAAAAAGGCAAAAAACTTCATAAAGACAACAAAAAACACACTCAGATATTCATCCTTGTCATTTTTTTCTTTTTCTTTTTTTTTACCTGTATACATGGTTTCTCGGTGATGTCTTGAATGGGTACAACTATCCTCTGATCAGTGGGCTATAGCAGAAGAGAGAGGTCACAACTTTTAGCAACCTGAAATGTACTTTTCAGTAGCAAAAACATCAAATTGCAATTTAATTGTAGATTTACATTTGATATCACAAATAACCCAAATTTATATTTGCTTTATTAAACTATGTGCACACTACCTTCTGTAAGCTTTAAAATCTTGGTGACTATTTCAATGCTACTTACACAATGTCTTAAAGCCCGTTAAATGATAAACACCCTTTCAGCATGGCCTCTAAGGTCATTACATCTCAGTCCAACTGAGCAACTTTGGGATGTGCTGGCATAAAGATTTGCTTTAGTTAACAAATCTGCCTCAATTATGCTTTTTCGTTACATCAATAAGACCAAAATCTCAGCGAAATGTTTCAAACGCCATTGTTGAATGTATACAATCAGGATCTACGTATTAAGAAATGCAAAAGGGCTCCGATGCATACGGAAGAGGATAAGGGCCACTGAAAAAAAAAAAAAGTAAACTGATTTTTAAATTTTATTTAGTTTAACATGGGAAAAAAGTCAGAATTCTGAGAAAAAAGTCAGAATTCTGAGAA